TTATTTATTTTTTTCCTGCATTATTCATCCCACTCTTCCAATGCTGGTTTAGAGCTGTGTAGTTCTGGGTGAGAGTAATGCCACCATTAAGAGATCTGAAGGTTCTGCAATTACAGCCAGGTCTGTCTGGCCATGCATAAAGGCAATGCATCAGACCTGAAAAGCTGAAGAAGGCTGAAGGAAAATGTGGGGCTTCCTACCATACCGACTGTTGGAAAGGAGTTTCTCACCCTTGGAGACGGCCCTACCATCCACCCCTATCACGTTCCACTTTTTTTTTTTTTTTTCCTTCTTTCCTTCTTCTTGCTTTTTCTTTGATCTATAATTCCTGCACGGCAAGTGCTTCTGCTGTGATTTGTGACATTCATTTCTTGTAAGGCTCATAAAGGCCTTTAATTCCTGTAAAATTTGATTAAAATCTCCCAAGAATACAAACAGAATTTGTTTCAAGTTAGATGACCCATCTAACACCAAATAAGCCTTCAACAGTAGCCAACATCAAATGTTTAGGGAAGAATAAAGGACAATAAAAATGTGTAGAAATATTTTGTAGCAGCCAGAAATCTTGGCATTATTGTTTCTTTTAAGCCAAAGATAGCCCCTGAATTTAATAGGCTGTGATGGGTTTTTTCCACTGCGAATTTGTTCAGACAGTTTATAACATCATGTACATCTGTACCACTGAGCATGTTCTGTGGTGAAATGTTTCCCAGCTTTAACCACACATGATATGAAGCGTCTCCATCAGTTTGCTTTAAGCCAGTTACCTGCTCATTTAAGGCAACACTCCCTCATTTTCTTACCAGAAGAGGCAGTGAACAATTAATTATTTTCAGCCAAACTCTCGCTGCCATTCATGACTTCTTTTTATCACATCTTGTTTGGTGGTCTCATTTTCATTCTGAAGTGTTCTGTCTCAGAAGCACTGAATTAGTGCAGAAATAACAGCACTGCTGATAACCTTGGCCATCCATCTCTCTACACCTTTTCTATGTCAGCCCATTTGGTAGCTGTTCACAAGTGTCTGTAATTGCAAAAAGAACCACGCCTAAACAATCACTTAGCAGAGCACAAGATGTCTAAATCTCCTTTTACAATTTTCATTCGAACGTACTACTTATAAATAATAATAAAAAAAAAAATTAAGCAAGAATCTATTCCTGTTACTAGAAGGACATCTGACATTCAGAATAGAGCACCAGTAGATCTAGTTGATACAGCAGAGTACTTATTACAGTAACTAGTCCCTAGTTTGCTTAGATTACATTTGATTTCACATCTCTGCTTGATACTGAAAGTTCTCTAACATTCTCCCTTACATTCTTTCTAACATCACCCCTGGGTTATTTGTTGCAGACAGGCAAATTAAGAGAGAGATTCCATAATTAATGGATCGGATATTTCAGGTATTTTCCATTTAATTCTGCAGTGATTCGAGTAAGCCATGAAGTAGTACAAACCCATTCATGAAACTGGTGAGTACCGGCAGGTATACTTTCCTTCCACTTACAAGTCCTTGGGGATTAGCTACACTGCAGTAAAAGATGGAGGAGATCGATTTTCCATCTAAAATTAAGGGGGTGTTGGGCTCCTGCCAGGACTGAAGCAGAATTAACAGCTTGCTGCTGTGGAGGTAGGACAGTCCTTGTTCCCTCCCCGCCTCTGGCCACCTGCGCCCATCACTTACCTCCTGCTGAGCACCGAGCTGACCCCAGAGGCCGGACAGCCAAAGGCAAAACACGGAATGAATCACACCCACACAGCTGTCAAGGCATTAGCATGCTGAGCACGTCCACGGCAGCATGTTGAGAGCTGCACATCTGAAAGCAGGGCAGATTTAGTCCTGATTCACCCTAGGCTAAATGTGCCATCCTGGAAGAGACAGTGCTGTGTTGGGGTCACGTTATACCAACTTCTCTGATGCGTAACCTGTTGTCTTACAGAGGGTCAAAGCTCTTCTGTGCCTTATATGAAAGAATTCCCTCAAATTCTGCATACAGGATGTGTGCAGGATCCATCTGCTCAATTCTCTGTCACCTGTGCATAAACATAAGGTTCTGTTTATTCCACATACAGCCAGTGAGGAATATAGTGACTTCTGGCTGTTTTCTATGCTCCAGCAAGATGAAACCTTTTCTAGGCAAGCCTTTGCCAGTCTGTTTAACACCAACTGTAAGCATCCAGTAAATGCTCTTCCTAGACAATGAAGTTCGTTACGGATTTCTCCATACAAATCAACAGCACTTGATACAGCATCGCAGTACCTGAGATGGAAACAGTGCTGCCCTTAAGTTCAGATTTCCTGGGCTCCCCGTTCAGTGTTCATACCTTTAGTATCTGTACAAAACTTGTGAGCTCCTAATTCATGAACGATATCAGGGCTTTTGGAGATGGTTTATTTTTGATCCATCTCTCTCGTAATACTGCTGACATGCCACGTACTTTGGCCCTCCTGAGTGCTGAGCAGAGCATTCTTTTGAACAAACACATTCTAAAGAGACACGGAATGTCAGATGGATTCCCTTTACTGTCGGAAAATACACTTAATATGTGCTCTTTGTGTTCACTGGCAATCAGAACAAATATTACTTCATTCCAGCCTTATTACTTATGGCTACAGTGTGAGATTAATTTCCAGAACATGATACTAAATTAACACCTCTTCTCAGTATACCCTGTTATAATTTACAAAGCACTGGCCACATCTTCCTGGACAAGTTTCCCTCTGGCACTGTGACAGGAGCTTTTGCCATTCTTTTGCCTTTCATCTTGCACACAAATCAGGAGATGATTTTCAGGTCCAACCATTTAACTCACTTTTTCCATTCCTATGCTTCTGTGCAGCTAGTGAACATTTATTTAGTAATTGATACTCTTTGATGATTTTGAGATTCTAAGTTTCATCCCTTTTTGAGAACTCATAATGTGCTCCCCGAGCTCATGCTTTGTTTCAGTACTATTGGTTTTGTATCTGTTTTGCCCTCCACAGAAGTTGTTCGAGTACAAGTAAATCTAGGCTTAAGTTTATGTTTCCCATTAGGCAATTACACAAATAGGAATGGAGAAAACAAGCCAGTGCTATTTTAGCCTTCTAAAATACTTATTCTCTGATGTAAAGCTTATTTTCTGAAGGTCTGCTGTTTGCTCCAGGAAATGTAACCAAATCTAAAAGAATTTCTCAAATTCAGTTCTTGAACTGCTTCAGTTGATTCCTGATATGACCCAGTGATGTGGTTTTAGGCATAATTTGTCTTCCAAATCTCTCATAGGGGACCGTGAGATCATACCTCCATTCCAGTTAATCCTAGGCTGACAGCTGGGGCTGCGTTTTCTGCAGCTTCTATCTTGGAACAATCTTTCTGTGATCCATTTTCACTTCAGTAAGTCAGCCCATAAGTACATTCTGCATGTTTGTAATCATCAGTTGCCCTGGTAATTCTGAAATCCCTCTTACATACTGACGGCTGGCTGTGATAAATCTGAAGGTGAAATATTTGTTGCTTTTACTTTCAATCTTCCTGCAGTTACTTTTCTTTCCCTATTTTTTTTCTATCTGGGCAACATTCCTTTTTTGCTGCAGGTAACTGTCAATGTCATCTTGCAATCAATTCATAACCTTTCTTTTCCTTTCAGAATGAACTCTGTCCTCCTGAAATTTCTCCCCAATTCCCACTCCTCCTGAGTTCAGTTTTTCCCTTTCCTTCTGAATCAGCTCGAGGGTTTGCTTGTTCAGATCTGGTAATATGGTCTTTTTCTCATTCTTCTCTTAGAAAAGAGAAGTTTTGCTGTTCCAATGTCATAGATATCCTGCAACGAATTTCTGTATTCCTTCTCCACAGCTGTCTCACTTTCCTGTAATTTTCAGAAGCGATAGAAGCCTTATGGGAGGTACTGTTTGCACGCCAGCAGCGCCTTCGGAACAGCACAGCTTTGTCACCCCTTACCACCACTAGATGGAGTGGAAGAGGGTTCTTCATTTATTCTCATTAGGGCACTGGCATCCAAACCTCTGGCTAGCCTGGGCCACAGTAAGAGAAGAGGAATTGTCCCAGTTGGCATATAAAATATGTATGATATAGTTAATGCATATAAGCAAGGAAACTTTATATACATATTCATGTATGCAGACATACATATATATGTATATATTTGATTAAAACATAAAAGGGAGGGCAGCAAAACCATAAGACTGAAGGGATATTTGATCATGTTTTTGTGAAACTAATTCATCAGGCTGGCTTGATGGAAGTACTTGCACTTCTCTGTGAGTTCTCAAGCTATTTGTCTGAGATTTTTGATGAAATTTTACTTTCTGGACTCCATCTATGAAAACAGTTGTTCACAAATGTATGTATTACCAAAAAGTGATGACATGAATAAGGCATCACCGTGAAGCAAGGGATATCTCTCTTTGCTAAGATAATGCTTATAGAAGTCTGATGAAGAGACATGATCAATTTTTTTTGCTGATTGCAACTCTATACGTTGCACTTGACAATTCTCAGGTAATATATTTATGTCATCTAAAAAAGGAGTTGTAAATACATTTAAAAGGAAAGGGGAAGGGGGGAGAGGGGTTTGGTGCAATCATGAAAGATATTATCAAATCCCTTTATCAAAATGGAAAGCACGACTGCATATTTTCCTCTGTTAGCAGAACTGTGTTTACCCAGTGTATCATAACGCATAAGATTATTTGCTTACCCTGAGTTACCACTGCACTTTGTCCTCCCCATGGCCCATTTTCAGCCCAGATTGTTCCAACTGCTCGCTGAAGTTTGGTTGCTGTTGAATGATGAAGGCTGGGCCACTTAGCAGGGCAGAGCTGCCACCATGATGGTGCAGGAAAGGGAAGAGCTGCAGGATGGGCCAGGCTGGGCCTCATTCAGCAAGTGGGATGTGTGTTGGATATACCTGCTATAGTTACAGAAGCAAGAATTTTACTCTTTGACAACAAAAAAAGTCTTCTGTGCTTGGCAACTTATTTCCAAATCAATACCCAGCTCTGAAACAGCAAGGAGAGATCATCAGAGCAAATTAAGTCTGCACACACATTTGGAGCCTGGATATGGACTCACAATGGGAATTAGTAACATGGAAGTCTTACATTAAGGAACATAGAAGGATATTCTTAATACTGTCTGATAGAAAGAAGAAGAAAGGGAATAGTTTACTGAGGATATTCCAGAGCATAACTCATATAAGAGACATTAAAACACAAAGTGAGATGCTGGACTCAGTACTGGGTTACACTGTACAGATTGTGGGAAACATGGGGATTGTCCTCAGAGCCAGATGAATGCCAGGTGGGCCCCAACCCAAAGGGACCACAGCAAGCCCAGAGAGAAGTGTGGCAGGCCGAAATAAAGACATGGTCATAGGAGATAAACATACATAAACAGGTCTGAAAGTATGACATTTAAACATTTTCAAAGAATCATAGAAATGTTTCAGTTGGAAGAGATCTTTAAAGGTCATCAAGTTCAACTTCCCTGCACTGAATAGGAACACCTACAGATAGATCAGGATGCTCAGAGCCATGACCTAGAATGCTACAGGCACAGGACATCTATCACCTCTCTGGGCAATATTCTTCAGTGCTTCATTACCCTTACTGTAAAAAACTTTTTCATTATACTCAGCCTCAATCTCCCCTCTTCTAGTTTGAGATCACTTCTTCTTTTCCTACTTCAACAGGTCCTGCTGAAGAGTCTGTCCCCTTCCTTCTTACAGTCCTCCTTTAGGTACTGAAAGGCTCCTTAAGGTTCACCTTGGAGCCTTCTCTTGTGAATGCTGAACAGCCCCAGCTCTCTTAGCCCATCTTTGTAGGAGAGGTGTTCCATCTCTTGGATCACTTTTGCGGCCCTTCTGGACACACTCCAACAAGCCCATGTCTCTCCTGCACTGAGGACTCCACATCTGTATGCAGTACTCCAGGTGAGGCCTCACCAGCGCAGAGCAGAGGTGCAGGATCACCTTCTTTGCCCTGCTGTCCATGCTTCTTTTGATGCAGCCCAGGACACAGTTGACTTTCTGGCTGTGACAGCACATTGCTGGCTCATCTCCAGTTTCCATCCACCAGTAGCTGGAAGTCCTTTTCATCAGAGCTGTGCTCCGTTCTTACATCCCTCAGTTTGTAGTCGAGGTTGCCAGGACCCAGGAGCAAGACCTTGCATTTGGCTTTGTTAAACTTCAAGAGGTCTTCCAAGGCCCTCTGCTAAGCCTGTCTGGGTCTGCCTGGACAGTGTCCTGTCTCTCAGGCGCGCCATGTGCACCCCACAGCTCGGTGTCCTCAGCAAACTAGCCAAGGGTGCGCTCGATCCCCCTGTCAATGTCACTGATGAAGATGTTTGGGTGCATCACACCCAGTACAGACCCCTGAGGGACACCACTTGTCACTGACCTCCATCTGGCCGTTGTGCCATTGACCACCAATCTCTGGGCACAGTCTTGCAACCACTTCCTTGTCCATCGAACAACCACCCATCAAATCCACACCTTTCCAATGTGGAGAGAAGGATATTATGGAGGATTGTACCAAAAGCCTTACTGAAGTCCAGACAGACAATATCAGTGCTCTTCCCTCGTCCATCGGTGCAGTTACATCACAGCAGGTCAATAAGTTGTTCGTGCAGCGCCCGTCCAGCACCTCTCTCACGCTCCGTGCTGTGGCCGCAGTCCCCCGGCCGCGGCCCCGCTCTGTGGGCGGAGGGGACGGAGCCCGCCCCGCCGCTCACCCTCCCGGCCCCGCCACGAGTTAGGGCGCCCCCTGCCGGGGCCGATGGATGCGGCAGCGGCGCATGCGCAGCTCGGCGCGGAGTGCCTCCCTTCCGGCCGCCATCTCGCTCCCGGCCGCGTGCTGTGCCCGAACCCGCGCCCCGCCCGCTCCGATCCCGCCGCTCCGACAGCGCTACGCCCGCTCCGGGAAGGTAAAGGGGGGCGGTCGGGAGCTGCGCGGGGGGCTGCCCTCCTGCTGCGGGTAGCGGGCTGGCTGGCCGAAGGCAGGGAGGACGGGGCGGGTTGACCCCTCTCCCCGACACGGCGGCGGAGCCTGCGGTGAGCCCCGCTTCACCGTCCTCTCGTTGCTCCCGTAGATGAAAGAGACCATCATGAACCAGGAGAAGCTCGCCAAGCTCCAAGCCCAAGTGCGCATCGGCGGCAAGGTGGGTGCCGCGCCGGGCTGGCGCTGGGGGGGCAGGGCAGGGCACGGCCGGGGCTGGCACAGCCCTGCTGCTGCGGGGAGGGGGTTTGCTCGGCGCGGCTCACAACGGAGGATTCCACGGGGCTTTGTTTGGCGTCTGCCGAAGATCGGGCGGTCTGAAGTCGGGATGAAAAGGGGATCTGCGGGCTGAGTGGCTCTGCGTGTGCTTCGCGTGGGTTACTGGAGAGTTGCTGTGTTGTTGACGGCGCGTCCGTCGCTGGGGTGTGTGTGTGCTGGCCGCGGACGCGTTCGGCGTCGGTGGCTGAAGAGTGTGCTTGCAGCTTACAGCTCTTCACTGTCTGTGGTCTGGTCGTTCCGCAGAAACGTCGTGTGGAGCTTAGGATGTGCTGGTGATGTTGTCATTCGTTGTTCAGACGGGTCTGTGAAATAATTTGAAGGTGTGAGCCGGGTTTTTGTTTTGGTTTACGACTGGAATTGGTTACTGGAACTCATCACAACAAAATTGCAATGTGAGCGGAGGTGGCTGATTACTGTGGGTGTGGAGGAGGCAAAGGGAAAAGTAAGTTCTTGTTAGAAAGGGCTGCGCATTGCCTCTGCTGGCAGGCTTTAACCACGCTGCACAGCTGTAGACTTGCAAAATCACTGAAATGTACTGTGATCCCTTGTATGAAACTTATAGCTGTTGTGTGTGGTATCACTGTGGCTGAATGCCACTTACTCCAAACCGTTTTAGAGGCCTGGTAGGTGACTGTGTATTTGAATGTAGTGAATTGAGGGTTGCTGTACCCGTTCTTGTCTAATATACAGGTGGTAGAGGTACGTGGACAACGTGTCTTGGCATGATCATGGCAGAGTTTGCTTAGTGAAGACCTGTAGAAGCTTAAATCTGTGGAGACGAAAGCAACAGCTTTTAATTTAAATGATCGGATTGTCTGAAGTTTGATGTCTGTACTTAATGCACATAAAAGTGTGTGGGCAGCATGTTCCTGCATAGCTTTTCATTGTAGGCATAATATTTTAAGATTGACTGAAATGTCTTTTGTCCAGAGAAATGTAATACAGGCCTTATCTTATCCTGTAACTGTATCTCAGTTACAGGTTAGTTAAGGTACTAAAATGAAACCATTTCTCACGTTGCTTTTTGTTCCAGATTGATGGGAGCAGAGAATGAAGATCAGGCTTTCTAGACAAATGACCAAACTCTTGAACTGTGTTCTTCAAAGCTGTATTTTCACATAAATTTTTATCTGTTGTTGTCTTTTATTATTTGTAATTGGATTATGCTAGAAGTATTAGCATCAGCCAGGTTTCTAACTTCAGCCATTTCTTTCAAAAAGAAATGCAGGAATTGATTTATACAGCGAAGCTGCAACACATTTTCTTCTTGGATTAGTATGAAAAGGGGATGCAATTTCACACACCCTTGTTCATTCTGTGTCAGGTCTTATGGTGCAAGGAAGTATGGAATGACGCATCCTTTCTCGTAGGTGTAGGTATCTTCATATAGACTTCTCCATGGAAGTAATTGTCCCTTATTACAGCTCCGTGTTTCTAGGGATCTAAACCTTGTTTTTGCTTTCTGAACTGAGGTACTCTGAAATACCATGTGAAAATATGTATTTTTAAATGTATCTGCAAATATTTTGACAGAGTGTGTTCTTTAATGCATGGGTTGGCCTATCAGATGAGGGCGTTGCTTTGGAATAAAACAGTTTTGGGGTGCTCTCATTTATTAATGATACAGATAACTATGGTTTCTGACTTCATTATCAGAATTTGTCTACAACTTCAGAATAGCGAACTAAAGAAGAATTCATAAGCTTTAAAAATTACTGAAGGCTGTACTCAGCCTTTGGTGTTATACCAAAGACAACAAAGGTAAGTATGCAGTTTTTCTTTAAGTGGGATAGTGGAAAATCTCCAGTCAGAGTTGTGAAGTACAGTGTCTCTGGTGAACTGCTTCCTAAAATCTCACATTTCTCACAAGCATTCAAAGCTGGCAGTAACGCAGTTGGAAAAGCATGTGCTGTAACTCAAGAATTGAACTTTGTGTATTACTTTGATTTATACGTGACCAGAGTATTTATATGAATTAGGATTAGAGTTTGTGAAAAACTATTTAAATATTGATTTGTAACTTCTCTTTTTTTTTTTTTTCCAAAGGGTACTGCCCGCAGGAAGAAGAAGGTTGTCCATAGAACAGCCACAGCAGATGATAAGAAACTTCAGTTTTCTTTAAAGAAACTTGGAGTCAACAATATTTCTGGCATTGAAGAGGTAACTGTTTCAAAGGAGGAAGTACTCTTCTATATGTAAAATATATCAGTGTTAGAATTCTGCTAAATTATACTTGTCTGTAAATCAGTAAGTCTTGAGTTTTAGGAACTACAGCTGTTTTCCTGCTAAACAAAACAAAAAAAAAGTGCTAAACTACTTGAATTATTTATTATCTTGCAGGTAAATATGTTTACCAACCAAGGAACAGTTATTCACTTCAATAATCCTAAAGTTCAGGCATCTCTGGCTGCTAACACTTTCACTATCACTGGCCATGCTGAAACAAAGCAGCTGACAGAAATGCTTCCTAGTATCTTAAATCAGCTTGGAGCTGACAGTCTGACCAGCCTGAGGAGATTGGCAGAAGCCTTACCCAAGCAACGTAAGTTGAAACTTTAATGCATTTGATGCTGGCAGCTAACATGGACTTATTTGTATAGCTGCAGTGAAGTTTAGTGCACTCTGTCTGCAGGCGTATTATGGCAAAAAGAAACAGAGCTCTGAGCTCTTATTTATAGGTCAATTCCAGTGAAGAGCACAACCAAAATAAAGCAGAGTCATAGCTGGTCTAGGTCTAGGCTGTTGTAGCCAGACTTGATTTTATGATGGTTTACTTCCATGCGTGGCTACCATATTTTCACATACATAGTTCTTTAAAGCCAGATAGATCATTGGTAAGAATTAGGATTTAGACAGATAAACTTCAGGTGTTTTTATTGTGATGAATTGAATGGTGGTGGTGTGGGGTGGAGAGGCTCGGGTACAGATATCTTGCTTCTGCTTTGTACCCTCGTGGATGTGGTAAGGATACTTTTTGCATGGGCTTGCAAAAATCACGCTACTTGGAAGAAAAGATGTTCTAATTCCTGTGTATATAGTAGAATGTAGAACTGGTATGAACATTAAATTACATAAATTTTAGGTTTGAATGTTTGGAAATTGTTAGGGGAGGACAGGCTTGCTGACTCTGAGAATGTTCCTCATTTTCTGCTCGTATAGTCTTCCTGCTTCTCAAAGAAGAATGTTAATTCCACTGCTTACAAAGTAGAGAACATGCTAAAGGGAGGAAATGAAGAAAGCTTATAATGTGTGCAGTTTCAGGCAGTAGTGAACTTGTTATGTTTCTTCTTTCTGTGCTTTGCCGCAAGGAAAAAGGGGTTGTCTTTGCATTCGTTAGGTCAGTTTCCCAGATAAAAAATCCTGCTATGACTAGTTTTTGGGAGGAAGTAAACTGCTTATTTCCCTGTGGAGCTCAATTTCCTTCTTCCTAACATTTTTATCTTCTGTCTGTTAGTGGTGGGGCTTAGAAAAGGGAAAGCTTGAAGCTTGAGTCTCATAACGAGATGGATTTATTCTGAATAAGCTAAATTGCACAGTTTTAATACTAGAGAAGCCTGTTTTTAAAGCGCTTGCTTTGCATGACTTGTTAAACGGTTGTTTTTACTTTGGGTGAATGCCAAAGCAGTTGCACAAAACTAGGTTTTGGTATTGTCTGCAGGTTTGGAAACCTGACATCAAAGAGCGAACTGTCTGCAATGACTGCATTTGCAGGTGTTAAAGTAAATTTAGTCTGGTCTCGGAGTTGAGTGAATGTGAAGACAGTTTATGAGAAAATAATATTAAAATGTCATATTCAGCACTTGAGATGCTCTCAAGCTGTGTCAGCTTTCTGCTGTTAGAAACAAAAGAATTAGCACTGTCCTTGTCACAAGCTATTTCTGACCAAATTTCAAGTACTCATCTGCTTCGCTGGATATCAGTGTAAAGTGATTTCAGGCAACTGATGTAAATGTCCTTTCCTTAATGCTTTTCTTGAAATCAGAAGGATTAATTAGAATAAATGGAAGTATTAAAGTTTTGTGCAGCTTAACCTAGGTAGTACAGCCAAGAATAGCAGTAAAAGCAGTGGCACAGGCACCTAGGGACCTTAGGTACCTATTCTTAGCATTATCACAGAATGTGGGGGTTGGAAGAGACCTCTGGAGTTCACCTAGTTCAGCTCCCTGCTAAAGAAGGTTCCCTGCAGTTTGTTGCACAGCAAACTACCTGGACAGATTTTGAATATCTCCAGAGAAGGAGACTCTGCAACATCTGGGTAGCCTGTTCCAGTACTACTGCAGTTTCACCTATGCTTGCTGATCTGTGGAGATGAGCATAGTTAAATCACAGTAGCTCTGGCAAATATAATAGAGGTTAAGTCTGTATTGATAGAGATGTGGGCCAGAACACATTGTTGCCTTGGCCTATTAGGTGTAAAATTGTGCATCTGATTCACTGTTCCTCTGAATTCTTCAGAGAACAGCAGTATCTCTTAA